AGTCTAGAAAATGCGGAAATACCTTTGGGTTAGGAAAAAGACCCACCAGTGCACAGAAAAAACCCCGCATACAAATGCAAGCAGTGGTTCTTTTTGGGCAAGCTTTATTTTGTCTTTATACCCCTATCTATCTCATATTTTCTATAATAAGCCCATATGATCTAGAAGAAAGAATCAGTAATGGGAAATCATAGAAAATTTAAAAATACCTTCTACCAGCATGCTGTAGTGAAGATACAGAGCCTGCCTGTGTTGCTAGTTTTACTTACATGTGCCTGTGTGTCTGACCTCCTCAAATGGCCCAGAAGTGCCTCCAGGTCAGACGGCCTAGAAGTGCCTCCAGGTCAGATCTGAGCCTGCTGTCTTTTTGTTTCTGCTTATTAGGTAATGAGTACATAATGATTTAGAGTTATTACTGAGGAAACTAGTGACCACCACCATGCTGGACTAAATATCGCACCTTACTGCACTATAAATTTAGCAGCTTAAATTATTTAAGGTGAAAAGAAGGTTAATAAAGAAGAAGGGAAAAAAGATACCACCATCTCAAATGAGCAAAACAGATGAAAGCTATTTCACCGTAGCTTCCAAATGTTAGCAGAATAGGCTCTACCAGGAATTTCTTTGAGTCATACTGCACCTCATATGACTAGCTTTGGGAAACATAGCCCCTTTAGCAAGAAAAAAAAAAGAATATGTGAAAATGCTGTGCTCCAATTTTCTGAACCACATCGAAGAAAGCACGGTGCTATCTCCAAGGACATCCCCGCTGTGGCTGGGCCCTGCACGGCGTTCTGAGTTTTAACGCTGAGCAGGTGCCATCTAGTGTCTTCACGCCACCACTACAGGCGCCACAGCGGGGTGCAGGCCAGGCACTCATCACCTATTCAAATGGTCGGATGATGTCCTTTTAATTACTTGAAGAAGAAAGATCTGCGATTTGCAAGTTAAATTTTTCTGCTCTTTAAATAGAGTAATTCACGCCGCCCAATCCTTCACTGATGTGCATTTTCATCTAAAAAGAAAAAGTAATTTGGTAGAACCACGGTTCAACAGAGGAGAGGCAGGCTATTTCTGGGTTGATTTTAGGCAAATCGGTTAATCTCTCTGCTTCTCAACCTCACTGTAAATAGTAACAGTTATTAAGAGGTCACTGGATATATGCCCAGAAAATATCATATAAATTTCTGAGTATTCATAATGGAAAAATCAAACAAGAGAAAAGCAAACTGCTGTCTTGAAGAAATATGATTAACCTAAGTTTGCCAGAACAGTTTTCCAAAGTTTTGTGTATATACAATATACCTCTTGAGTAAGAGTGTTTAAGACCAAATAGCACTGTTACATGGCCACAGGCAAACAGACACACAGAGCCTGAAAATGCAGATAGAAAAGGAGATCAAAATTTTAAGTGGTAAAATGGATCCATTTCTTTTTGTTCTAAATAAACAGTCTCAGAGCCATTCAACGGGCTTGATGATAGTAGAGAATCACGCAAATGGCAAAGAAAAGGACGATCCAATGTGTACATGAGGCAGCAGGAAAACCTCAGGGGAAGCGGTGAGAAAGCTCTGACACCATCTGTCAAAGAGAACGAGACCGTGGACATACTTTTTCTTTATGCAGTATTTTCTAGCAAAACAGCTCCATCGAATGTTTTCTTTTTTATTTTATTTTTTTTCCACTGAATGTTTTAAATGTCTCCAAACTGTTCGGAATCTGCCTGTTCTCCTTACGTGCATGGACTCTCCTCTTAGGTTTCTCTCCTTCCAGACACGGCAGCGCCTTGGTCACTCTCGCCTGCTTCCGCACCCGTTTCAGCTTTCATGAGGAAGCTGCCGTGAGGCAGGGGACCTGCTGAAGCTGGTGGCAGAGAGTTTTATTTTAAAACCAGTCTCCCTCGCTGCCTCAGAGCTATGAACAGCTTTCTCACCCGTACCCGTCACTGATGGTTTCTAAAATGAGATTCTTTCTTCCCCCTGAGCATATAACTTCAGGGTCAGTGAGTCCCCTCATGAGGACTGGAGTGCTCACAGGTCAGGCTTGTGTTCCAGTGACATCAAATCACAAAAGCAAACTTAAGCTGCTTTTCTCATCAAGAATCTTGCACATAGAGTTCGGGTTTTAATATTTGTCTCTTTGGAAGTCATAGCTTCCCCCCAAGTCTTCACAACACCCTTTGGCGTGGTCAGGCAAACGTTTAACCCCTCTGTGTCCCGCATCATCTGTGATGTGGGACGCTCCAGGGACACACCACACATCACTCTGCTAAAGCCTCATGATCTGGGCGATCATCTTTCCTATAAATGAGGGGAAAAGAGAAAATTTTTCTGGGGTCCCATCTGTTTGTCTGTTTTTCTCTGTCCCACCAAAATCTGTTCCTTCTCGAGCTCTTCTCCTTCCATCTGGCCTAGTGATTTTCATACACAGATTATTTCAAGTCCAGGGAAACGGTGTCACCAGGAGGCCGTCAATAATGTGAGTTTTTTCCTTCTTCCCTCCCCCAATGCAAAAGATGATGACGGAATGCCCCGAACGCCCCGCCTGCCCTTCCCACTGGGGCGCCCCTGGGCTGATGCGAGGCCTTCCCTGCGATTTACTTGCACAGCTACCCTGGCCGCATCGTCCCCCTCCTCTCGGCCTGGGAGGACGGCCCACTCTCATCCCATGACAAAGCCAAGGAAGACAGTCAACGGGGCGTGCACACGCGACAACCTTCTCTGCTCCTGTGCTCTGCAGGGGAGGCCGGCTTGCAGCTCTGCACCATGACCTGCACTAACAACACTGATTCTCAGGCTCTGCCCCATATCTGTTTAATCTGTTATTCTCATCCCGACTCTTCCACGATTATCACAAGCTACTTGCCACTTCAAAGAGGCCTGAGAACACAGAAGAACAGAGTTCTCAGGAATAAATATTTCCTGTTTTCTGTCATATTCTGGTTGTGTGGGTATGGGAGAGAGAGAATAGGGAAAGGAACCAAAGCAGAAAGGGAAATTCTACTATGACTTGAGGCAATCCACAGACAAAAGTGAACGCTTCGTAGGGAAGAGTCAGAGGGCAGCGGTGGGACAGAAAGTCTTAAGCCGTCCTCATCCGTCACCCTTCACAGACGTACTCTCCTTAAAAATAAAGAGGGAAACAGCAGATGAGAGGAAGCTGACGTTCATTTAGCTTAAAACACATCCTCTTCTGCACTCCATTTTAATGTAGTTTAAATATCTTACTCAGGAAATGACCATCTGAAGACATGGGCTGACAAGAACTTTCTCCCCGGTCCCCCAGCCAGGCAGTCCCGCCCCGGTGCAGGTGACTCCGGCTCCACCGCTCTCCGACAGGTGGGAAGCCCTTGCTTGTCATGTACGTATATAAATTGAAGGGTGACTATGTTTACTACAAAATAACTCTCTTCTTACAAAGAACACTTTCCGTAAGATTAATTTCAACAGTAAACTCCTTTATTGAGTTCAAAAATGATTTGGTTTTTAACGAAACTCTACTTATATAAAATCTTCACATCTACCACGTAAAATAAGGCACCTTTATAAATGTGTATTTTTTGTTTTGCCACTTTCATCTTTTCTACTTTCAAAATCCTAAATATAAGACTGTAAATATCCCTTTTACATTTTAGGACTTATCTTGTTTTAAAACATTCAAGTTTCTTTCAACAAATTTGAGCTTGGAATAATTATTCTTTCTTTTTAATCTTTACCAGATGTTGTTTATACACAAGCAATTTTTTTCAGTACTCCCTAATGCAATTATTGTTTAATTAGTGATAAATCTGTCATTCCTGGGCTTCAAAACTTAACAAGTACCAAATGTACTTTGGTGTTTTAAATTTACAGGCGCTGAGTGTTGGGACACAGAAATGGGAGGCATGCGTGAGAAGGCACAGGGATGCCTGGCTCTGAGCGGTAGACAAAAATCACCCAAATCTGAGGTCCCTCTCCTGGCCTCGCCAAGTGGCCTCTCTCCAGCTAGCTGGCGGGGTGCCTGAGCAGGACGAAATCTCCCTAGCTCCTGCCTCCTGTCAGCTCAGCCTCTGAGTGGCAATGACCCTCAGGTCCATGACAGCTCTGTTTGTGGTTTTGTATTTACCCCCTCCCTTCCCCCATCTTTTTTTTTTTCCCCTAAAAAACAATCACGTATTTATTTCTGATGACACACACTTACGGGTACGGAGCTGACTGTGTGTGTACAGCAAAAGTCCTGCAGTCCCAACAAGGTGACACGGCGGCATCTGGTGCCCCCCTGAGGCCGACGCTGGAAGTGCAACTCCTGTCCAAGATGGAGATGCTCCAGCTTTGCCACAGACGCAAGCCGCCGCCACCGTTCCTGCTGGACCGCCACTAAACTACCTACTTCAGCTCTTGTTCAGTTACGTGCATCATGTTAAAGAGCTCAAAAAGGAAATGCTTGAGGACTGCTAATGAAAAAGCAAGAAAAGGGCTGGCCAGTTAGCTCACTTGTTTAGAGCACGGTGTTATACACTCAAGGTCAAGGGTTTGGATCCATGTACCAGCCAGTCACCAAAACAAAAAAAAAAAAACCAAAACAAAACAAAAAAAGGCAGAGAAAGAAGAAAACCGTCGAGCATTAGTGCAAAGCTATTCAAGCACAGAAAACTGACATCACCC